AGTTTTTGAAGCGGGCAAGTGCATTACTGTATTATATCCTTCGTATTACTCGTTTTCTACCACTTTTTGTCGCATACGCGTTGCAACAAAAAAGGCTGAGAACGGCTTCAACAGTGTGCGCACTCCTTCTGGCTGACACGCCCCACCGAATGATGAGAACTGTATGTCACCATAAAGGCCATAAAGGCCGAGTCTCATGCAAAAAGTGGATCAAGTGGTAGTGCTTTCCCTTCCAGCTTGAATTTACAGTTAACGGTACCGCTCCCCTACCCCTCACTCTCCTTTCCATTTTCCCAGATACGTTTTTCGATAGTAGATACGCGGGAGTTCGAATGTGTAGGGTAAAACGTGCTTGTAGATCAGGGATAGTGCAGGTTATGCCCACATCGTTCACTTCATTCCGCTTGATTGGCAGCCCCCCTGTCGCGATTTAATTGCTGACGAAGGAGTGGCGCGTCTTGAGGGTTCAGCTTTCACGATGTTAAATGAAATAGCCAATTTAGCCCCAGAAGCTACATCCAAAGGGCTGCTAATGTGAACATGAGCTCGTTACTCACCACATGTAAAGAATAAATTTCCAACTAGCAACGCTGGGCCAAAGATCGATAACCACATTGATGAGGAGCAGAAGAGGCAGCCAGCAGAAGGCAAACATGGCCGAAATCAGAATCACCATCGGAATCAACTGAAATCATTTGATGGCTGCAGTACGACACTGGAGTCTCAAAGAGAAAACACACCTTTTTCACACTCTCGTGCCTTTCCATCACCACTTTCTTCGTAGAACTGGTAGGTCCAGGGATTCGGCTGTTCCACATCTTCATACCGATAAAGGTGTAGGTGATGATCAACACTGTGAGTGGTACTACGTACTGCAGCACTAGGATCAGATACGAGTAGAGGCGGCGAGACTAAAAAAAGAATAATTTGAAGTGGAAGTACATTAAAGGGAAGTACAGGTGTGAGCGAAATGGTTTTCAGGGACGTTTGGAGCACTTTTTCAAATTTTCAGCAGTGGTGGAATGAAACCAGTCCATAGTCTGCTGTAAGGTTCACTCCTGTCACGCACATCACCGGGGCCCGACGGGGCTGTGGCTTCTAGGAAGAGAAAGGTTCAAATTCCGTGTCGAGGAATTCCCTCCCGTTCGATGTCAGTTGACTGGAATCCTGTTCTCCTGCCTCATCCTCGAATGAACTTCTTAGAGTGATTGTAGTGGGAGCGGAGGGGGCAGGATTCATCATTGGTTGGCATTTTGGTCGAGTCCTTGCGACTCCCATAAAAAGTTCTTGGTACGATCCCACTTGTTCCCCCGTCATCGAGCTGTGGGGGAGGGAAAAATCAACTATTGAAAATTTTTTCTCAGACCAAATACGGTCCCCTGTCGGGAAATCTCCAAAGATGATGTGCCCTGCAAGGGAGTGGGGAAGGAGAGAAGGAGAATAGAAAGTATCGAAGAAGACTAGTATTGAGCAAAAACTCAACATCCTTATAATGTAAATTGATTCCTGCATTTCTTCCAGGGGGCAAAATTACAAGGACTATGACGTGTTCAAGGGGCAGGGAAATTGTGTGCAGATCGGGAGAGAGGCGTG